TGCAGCACATTTATAAAATCTCTCCACTTTCAGTATGTCTTGATTTAGAACAAAGGTTTTTTGCACTGTTCAAAACTGAAACAATCCTAATTAATCTCGCCTGAATTTCATGGAACTCAGTATTACGGCTGTGCCACTGTGGATCATAAAATACCTTTTCTCAGTTATATCAAACAGTTACAACATGGCAGCCATCAGGTAATAGAAATGATAATGCCATCTACTTAGACAACTTCTATTAAAACTGAAAATAAAATAATAGTAACTACACAAGATTTAAATTGTTTTTGATTTACTGTAGATGCCTGATGTACCATTGTGGCCAGGCATGTGAAATATCACTGATGGTGAACCTTTTAAGGTCAAGCGCCTAAATGTAAGAGTGGTATCTGCTGGAGTATAAGTCATTAAAATATTAACATTAAGTACAATGTAAGATAATTACAACATCTTTACCAATTGAATAAAAATTTTCTTGGATATCCAAGAAAATTTTTATTCAATTGACTCTTCACCATCGTCAAGAAGTTTTAGATTTGATAAACATCTTTACCAGTATCTTGGTTCTCTCAGTTCCATAAGTTTGCACATACATATATATATAAGCAGGCTTTCTGATGTATGAAATGAAACAAATCAATGGTCCACTCTATAATCACCAATGTGCTTTTATTTACATGGCATGATGCAAACTGGCATTTGAAAATGGGACCAAATGTTAATTTGGATAAATGCAGACTCCAATGTCAACTGTAACAGATCTCAAATCAAATTACTTAGCTGAAATGAGTGACTTCATACTGTGCAATCAACAGCTTGAAATAAAGAATGTGCATACTTTGGCCAGGTTGATTTGGGTTCATAGGACCACTTCCAGGCTGCTGTGGGCCACCAGCACCAGGGCGACCAACTGGAGCTACCATCATCCCTTGTGGACCTGATGAAACAGGCTGCTGCACCATGGGCTGCAACAAAGACATATAATTGAAGACAGCTATGAAGTAATCAATGCTCTGCTTGAAATATCATATTCATTGTCTGAATTACATACAGTTTAAGAAATATGAGAAACTGAGTGTCAAGTTATTAAAAAATAACTCACAATTATGAAATCCTAACAGTACAGACAGACAGTTGCCCTCTACAAATCCTAATAAACCACATTGTGGAACAATTGACATTACATTCAGACAGTATGTACAGATACATTTCAGTAGAAAATATAAAATTCAACAAATGTGTTAACAGCAAAGCTGACAAATGTTTACAAATGGAACGCCATCAACTTCAAATGGGATAAATATGAATGTCTAATAAGATATGGCAATAAGCAATTGAAGTTAGCCTTATGACATGTAATTGAGTAATTAAATAAGCTCAGTGTGTGATGCAGTATCATAAGCTTACCTTGAGCCCCTTCCCCATTCCAACTGCTGCCACTAGTACATGTGTGTCTGACACTGATGACGTCTGAGCTCCTCCCGATCTAGACCCAGACTCAGTCTCCCACTCTTCGCGAGCCTTGCTCACAATATCCCACACATGACTTACAACTTTGCTGTATGCTGTTACCTGTTTCTAAACAATACAATACCAGGCCTTAGAACAATTTAACTACAACACACAACATACCTCCTCAGTTTGTCATTAAGCACATAAAACCTAGTTCAGGATATGTGTTTCCACTGGATGCCATATCTCTTCAAGTTCTGTATATAGTTTTAAAACAAACCATATGCATCCATGAAATGTTATACAAATAAAAGGAAAACAAGACATTTTAAGACATCTAGTTATGTGATTTTTGCTACATATAAAACAAAAGAGGATAACAGTTTCAGTTCTGAATACATATCAATCTGTTTAGGTATAATCTGCATAATCCTACAAGTAAATGGTTTACTGCTAATAAGCTGTCCTTATCTAGCTACAACAAATATAATAACATGAGTTAGTAAATGAAGAATTCCTGGGTTTGCAAAATTGATAACCACCTAACTTGGACAAATCATACTGATATACTGATACTAAGTTGAGTTGAGCAGGTAAGATTTGAGGTTTTCACAGCGGTGAGTATGAAGATTTATGTCTTCTGGGTTGTTGTGCTGTGTATTATGAATTATTCATCACCCTGATGACGGAGGCAGTATGACCTCTGAAACGTTGGTTAACATCGACCAGACTACACAGCGCAACAACCCAGAAGACAGAAATCTTGAGTTGAGCATGTTACACAGTTTGATCTATGTTGCATGTCAGCAACACTGACACATTCAAATCAGTTTTATTTTGTTTGTTATCACTCCATAATGAAGTATGGAATAATTTTTTGGGCTAATTCATCTAACAGCAAAGACAATTACTATACAAAGGAAAGTTTTTAGATTAATGGCCGGTGTCAAATCTAGAAATTTACATAGAAGTCTATTCAAGAGATTGAGATCTTAGCTCTTCCATGTGAATACATATTCTCATTAATGAAATTCATTGTAAATACCCAAGAACATTTTAAAACTAACAGATATATTTACATGTCATTTGCAATTCTTTGATAATTAAAGTATTGTTTATCCCTATTTGACAAGAAAAAGTGTCTGCAATTGTGCGCAAAAAACAATTTTAAGTTCTAGACCAATGTACCAGAGTAAATTAATGCCATATTTATTCTTAAGACATATTCTAATACATACTTGAGCTGACTCATATGCAAGGTTGGCTGCCTTATGCTCCATTTGAATCATTTGACGTTCTACATCAGGTTCAGGTTTTGTGCGGAGATAGTCAGGGACAAGATCATGAGAAAATGTAGGAACACGTCCTTCTGTGAGTCGAAGTAATTCTTCATCCCTATCAGGACTCAGTAAGAGTGGCAAAACCGTCAAATTGCGCAAAGGTGGTGACTTGTCATGACTCAACATCTTGGATAATGTTGTCAGCTGCAGAGGGAACAAGTTATATGTCAGTATTAGACAATAATTAATGCTAACCTCACTAGTTTTCAAAATTAAGTGTACAGTAGAGAAATAAAGTTATTCAGTAAGCTTCCATCAATCATAAAGTATTAAACCAGTGAGTTTGAGGTTCTCATGTTAGTAAAGATTTTGATACTGGTTCTCTCGGTTTTAATGCATTTACTTGTAGGTAGATACCAATGCAATATATTTAAACCAGTATTAATGACTATGATTATTAAATTATCTTTCTAAGAACACAATAAATTATTTATACATTGTAAAAAATGTAATTACTTTGTTCCATATAAAATATATAAAGAAACTGTAACAAACAATTATGTACCTACATTGGAACTTTAATTTGCATCATTTACTTCGTTTTGTTTATTTAATGATGCTCTCAGAGGCTCAGACTGTATAGTGTCATATCTGTGTTTATATATGACATACAATATTTGTATATGATTAGATAAGTTTATGACATATTGTACATCCTTGGCTTATGTAAAACGATGGATCTGTGAAATGGTCATAAATAACAATTCTAGTTCCAATAAGAACGTAAAAAAATTGGTGATATGTAACTTACATGTCCTGACATCAAGGCAAAATTATCAAGAAATGTTGGCCAATTTAAAGTCTCATATTCATGCTCGAGTTTAACAAGCATTGATCCAATTGAATTCTTAAGATCGTTAACACGCATAATTATTGCTTCTAATGCTGCGTCTTGTTGCTTCTCCTCTCTTTGCATCTTGAGAGGTTATTCTGCAAGTATGAGAACACAGCACCAGCAATTTTATATCGTATATACTAATAATCAGATTTATGCTATAAATGAAAACATGAACCAACATCAAACAAATAATACAAAGACCGACACTTCTACGAAAGCAAATTACGCACCTAACCTCAATTCACAAAAACAGGCCCTGACAAGCCCCCAAACCGATTTCTATGATACTATTATGCATCATACCTCCCATAACAACACAGTTTATCCCACAGTTAATATCATAGCGTATAATTTAAGTACGGCACAGGTCACAGAAATTACATAGATTATACAACGTATTATCATCGTTCTGTGAAGGTTGTTATCATCAAGATCAACATTTAGGTTTTCTGTCGATTCGCAGTTCTGACCATTCTTTACGTTGGCAATGGTTGTTGCCCCTAGAATACGTTGGTAACGCCTGTACTAGGTCATACGTAAGCACTTTGCACGTGTGTTGGGGAGGTTTGTCCAGAAATTTCACATTTCGTAAATATCGGTAGGCAGATAGCCATGGCGATGTATAATTTTAAGAGGATAGCAGTGGTCCCACCAGCAAAGGTAATATTAATATATGTGTGTGAATGTATCCAAATGTAATTATTGATGTTGAATGATGTTATGTATGCATTTATTTCCAGGACTTCGTTGATATTATTCTTTCTAAGACGCAGCGTAAAACACCGACAGTGATCCACAAACATTATAAGATATCTCGCATTCGTCAGTTCTACATGCGCAAAGTGAAATACACTCAGCAGAACTTTCATGACAGGCTTTCTCGGATTATACAGGAATTTCCGAAGTTGGATGTAAGTTCAAATTATGTTATAAAAACTCGTATCTGAAACACGTAATCAAATGTCCGGTTGTGTGTATGTAATCATTTCAATTCCTTTGGTTGTGTAGGACGTACATCCATTTTATGCAGACTTGATGAACATCCTGTATGATAAAGATCATTATAAGCTGGCTTTGGGACAGTTGAACACTGCTAGACACCTTGTAGACAAGTAAGTACTCTTGGATAAGCACAGATTATGTCATGGTCTCCTCTCAGGCCCAGACCTGGAACAATTTTTCAACCCATTGCTGTCTCATCGTGTTATCTGTTGTGTGAGCCATTATACAGAAGGTGTGAACTTTTCATAACTGAGCCATGACCCAAACATATTCTGCACCTGTGTCTTAGAGGACAAGATTTGCCAACACTTGGTGAAGGTTACACATAACTTAAATTTCTTCTGAGATCAACTTTTTGTGTATTTGTGTACTGAGTAGTGTATTCTTGGTTTTTTGGCAACGTCATAAGGCAAAGGAAGAGGAAAATGTCTGAATTTACCAGTTATTAAAGATTTAGGACAGGTGGAGACTTGTTTGCTCAATTGTAGGTAAAAGGTTGTTGAATAAGTTGACTCCTGTATAATATACTCCTTTTTGATATTGAGTGAGGTTAGTATTTGGCATATGAAGGTTATATTTACATTTTGTGTTTAAATTGTGTACATGTTTATTTCTTTGACATTTGTCCATGTTTTCCACCACAAATGATAGTAAGCATTATATGAATTCACTTGCAAGAGGAAGTGTAGTAAATTTCTGAAATAATTTTCTACAAGAGACTTGCTTTTAACACCAGCCATTATTGTAATTATTTTCTTTTAGATGTAGAATAATTTATTACTGCCTGTTGAATTTTCCCATGAGATTAACCCATGTGACAGTACAGAATGGAAGTAAGCTAAATAAACTAATTTTAAAGTATCTATTGACATGAGTGGTATGACTGTCCTCATGGAAAAGCATGTAGAGTTTAGTTGTTAGCACAAGAACCATTCTGCAAGATATTTGTGAAAATACTCTTGTAGGAACCAGTACTCTCTATATTAAAGCATTCCATTTGAGTTGTTTTTTTCTTCTCCTTTACATTTGATCAGTGAAACCAAAAATTATATTACCCAAATTGGGATTCTAGTTCATACATATTGCATTAACTACACTAGTTGTATCTGAAGTATTTTCATCAGACTGAAGAGCAAGTAACAAAGAGCACATTAGAACTGCAGATAATGTATCAGGAATAATGTGTTGCACTTGATAGTTTTTTAATTAATTCAATTTGTTAAATTCATTCCTTTTCAGTGTGGCAAAGGATTATGTTCGCCTTTTGAAGTTTGGAGATTCTTTGTACCGTTGTAAGCAACTGAAAAGAGCTGCCTTGGGTCGGTGAGTGCTGATATTAAATTGGGTTATGTTGCTGTACTTGTCTAGTCATCACCAAGTTTTTGTTTATGTTCCTATTATGTTATGAAATCTCATTCATAGTAATGTGTAAAGGTATAAGAAGGTTTTCCATATTGCTGAACATATCTTCAGGTCTGGGGAAGCATTTTAATAGAATTGATGATATTGCATTATTAAAATTACTTCTTTATGCCCTGATACTTTGTAAACCAAGAATTTTCAGAACTGTCTTTTCGAATTTGGAGTGACAATTTGTTTTATCTCTCTTGTTGATAGCTCTACTCTATTTCACGTACTTATATTGAGACAGGACAAATCACATTATACTTTCAAAAAGCTTTATTTAAAAATTTTCAGAAATACGTGAATATGAAAAAAGGAGTATTGTGTTATGAAATATGTACATTTCAAATTATAATGTTCTTCTTGGCCCAGTCTAACATGAAATTGTTTTTGCCCCAGGATGGCAACTATAATGAAACGTCAGAGCCAGAACTTGCAGTACCTGGAGGAAGTACGTCAGCACCTTGCCCGTCTCCCATCTATTGACCCATATACCAGAACCATCATCATCTGTGGTTTTCCAAATGTTGGAAAATCCAGCTTCATCAATAAGGTATTGGGCTAGCACAAAGCAAAGTAACTGCATGCTGGATTGTCCCAATATATAAATTCTTTGTTGCTGTGCTCACTAACAGTCCTAAAAAATATTACTGTATTTAAATATCACTCACTGTGTTCCTAAGACTTACATCAGAACTACAATGCATAACACAAACCATGTAACATTATAGACATCCTGAACCATACCTGTTTAACAAAAATTTTTATCCTAAAATGAAAGTCTCTCATCATTACTATCATGATTGTTACTCTCATCATCACTAAAAATCGTAAAACCTTTCATACCGTGTAGTGTATTGGAATATAAAATGTGCATGCAAACTAAACTGTTATACACCGTGAAGGACACTAATGCCAAACGTCTTTCAACCTCAAGAGGTCATCATCAGTGGCAAAAAATAAGTTAATTCATATAATATAAATCAAAAGATTATGGTTTTGTAAAGAACTTAGCTTTATATTCTGTTAAAAATTATAATCTTTTGATTTATATTATATGAATTAACTTATTTTTTGCCACTGATGATGACCTCTTGAGGTCGAAACACATTTGGCATTAGTATCCTTCATAGTGTAAGCAGTTTTGTTTGCATGCACATTTTATATACTAAAAATCTGATAGAGAAGTGGCAAAATGTCAAAACATGAACAATTCAAATGAGATGGATCAACGTAACTAAAATATTTGTTTTATTGGTTATCATAAATGGTTTACACTTTCCCCTTACTGTCCATATTTTACTCTACCATGATATTGGACTTCAGTCCACAGCAGAATTTGATCTTTATGAAACTTAAAGTTTTATACCATTAGGAGGTTAACCTGATTGTTCACTGTTTAACTATCACATGAAAAAACAAAGTTGAAATAGGTTAAAAATTTTAAATATATTCTTATGCGAATTTGGCCAGGATTTTGTTAAGACGTAATATGCAGGTGTGTAAAATTGAACTTGCACTAGTAACTGTTATATTGGACTGTCATATTAGGAGACTTGCACTGTAACATATTTCCTCAAATGTCCAGGACCTTTGAGCTAAGATTTCACTTCACTCAGCTGGATGTACATTAGTAATGTAAAAAGCATGTTTTTATGTATGCATAGATGGAAGTTATTTACCAAATTATTTGACGTACTTTGAACTTCGACGCCCCATTTTATTCGAGGTTTGGGTTTGAGTTGAAGGTTAATCAATTATTCATTCATTCATTTCTAAGTATATGAAAATAAACTGTGTTTTTACGACACTGATGGATGTACATTTGTTTCTACAGATTACACGAGCTGATGTGGAGGTTCAACCATATGCATTTACAACAAAGTCACTCTATGTAGGCCACATGGACTATAAGTATCTTCGCTGGCAGGTGATTGATACACCTGGAATATTGGATCATCCACTAGAGGACCGTAATGTGATTGAGATGCAGGCAGTGACAGCACTTGCTCACCTGCGTGCTGCAGTGCTGTACGTGATGGACCTCTCTGAGCAGTGCGATCACAGTCTTGAAGATCAGGTATGATCACATTATTTAATGATGGAGCTCTTCCTGTGTAGTGAGTGTTTAAAATGCTAGTCATATGAATACAGATTAATGAAAACTGCATTAATTTGTCTATGGTTTCTGTCATCAGGCTAACCTGCTAATCGTATTAAGATGTAGTCAATTGACTACTTCAGTGGTCCCCAACCTTTTTGTGCCTACGGGCACATTTGAGAGTTTATGAGATCGTGGCGGGCACCAACCAATTAACAAATCCAAATTTTCTTTTCTCTGGACAAATAAGATATGGATACCTAATAATACACAAAACAACACGACGTTTAATGATACAAGAAACCGTTCAATCAAAAATATGTAGTTTTATAAGCACACTTATTATTACTCAAGTGGGATGTTTGGCGCTGCATTTCATCGGCCAGTTTTTCAAATTTGGGAGTGTAGGATGATGTTGCTGCTCGCAAACAATTGTCAAGATGGGCGTCAGTAAGTCGAGATCTGCGCTTTGATTTTATAATGTTCATGGTTGAACAGCCTTCATTATTCAGTATAACCTCTTTCCGTAACAACACGGGCACCCAAGAAAAGCCTTGGCGGGCACCGCATTGGGGACCACTGGACTACATCTTATAAATGCACGGTACTTCATCTCTTCCATAGTAATGATTTTGGTGCTTGTAGAGGGAATGCTTCATTTATCAGCAAGAAATTGTGTCAAAACATAATGCATAGTTTTTAAAATAAAATTCCAGTTGCATAAAATCTCATTGTACTCATTTCTTAGTGAAATTCATTATGCTTTTTCCACAGATTTATCACTGTTATCTCCCATCATAACAATTATTTTATGTTCACACAAACAGAGATGTGTGTTGTTGACTTCATGTTCAGAAGGAAATTCTTGGCCATTTTGTTATAATTCATAGCATGTGGACTGTACAGTAAAAAAGAGCACGTGTTAGCACGTCACCACTGCTGGAATCATCTCTGCTATAGATTTACAAGTAGCTTTTGACTATGTGGTATGGTTTTAAGCACTTGTCTGGGTGTTAAATGGCCTTTTACTGCATATTTTGCAGTATTATATGATGTAATATGTTATATGACTTGGGAGCACATCAAAAATGGTGTCATTTTGTTCACCTATGCTTGTAAGTAGTATTTGCTAGTAGTATCAGACACAGGATATAGGAATTTATGACAATACTAAACAGTGCGTTCATATTGGCTGGAGTTGGAGGTGACCAGTGTGTGATTTTAGGTCTCTTGGTAGGGGGGCATATTTTACATTTCACTTTATTCCCATTCAGTATGGTTTCCTGCAGGATAAGGTCTAACAAATCTAGACCAAAGGAAAGATAAAAATGTTCAGTAGATTCAGTTCTCCAGTGAAAACTTGATGTTACAACTGCTTCACATTCAGTATTTTGCATTGGAATAGTTGTGCTTAAGCGGCCCATCCACGTACGAGTCTGACTTGCGAGTCTGGCTCGGCGAGCTTGACTCGTGAGCCGGGCTCGGATATATTTCACCACACATGCATAGCAGACTCGGCTCGTGACACCCCACCCACAAACGAGTTTGGCTTGATAGGAGCCGAGCCGGACTCACAAGCCAGACTTGTATGTGGATGGGCCGCTTAAGATTTAAATCAGTGACTTCAAACCAGTTATGTACCAGTGTCTTGCCTGTTTTGCTGTCACTGTCATTTGTACCACTCTTGTTCTTACTCCCATCAGTATACCTTATTAATAACTGTAACTAGAACTGAGGTCTGATATATTTTTGGTTTTACTTTGAAAAGACAGTGAAAGTAGGTGAGCGAGTGAATGAGGTGCTCCATTGGACAGGGGTGGAGGGGGGTAGAAATGCATATGCAGGCTTGTGGCTGCATCTGTTTAAAATAATGTAAGTCAGGTGGTGGGTGTGAACAGAGCAGATTGAGAGGAGAAAGGATTACAATGGAGGATGAAGTTACAGAACAGGCTTCACCCAGATTATGGCATATGATGCTGCCTGTCATCACTGAAACCATGTTTGATTTGTTTCTAATCTTTTTTTGTTTTGTTTTTTGTTTTTAAATTTTTATAGTTTCTTTGTTTTATTTTTTAAAATATTTTGTGTCCTTTGCCTGCTTAATAGGTATGTATCAATATTAAATTCTTATATTCCTGCATAATGTTGAAGCTTCATAGTGATGGCTGTAACTGCCTACTATTAAAAGTATTTATTATTGTTTAACATTTAGCTCATGTTTTATTTTTGTAATAAATTACTGTGTGTGTTAGTAAATGTAATTCAGTTTCAAGCTTGAGTTTCCAAAACAGTGATTTGAGTCATGGTTAAAGAGATTAAGAACCACTACATTAGACTGGCTGTCAAAATGTAAGGAGAAGAATTGTGTTAAATTTTACCAGCTTGTCCTGATCAGGGCATAAATAAAGCCTTGATAATACAATAGCAATGCTAGCCCTATAATTAAAATATGGTATATGAGAGTTTTTAAACAACACTTTGTGGGCCTGCATGTCGTAATGGAATGGTTAAAAAATGTTATTTCAGTGTTAGAAAGTAGTTAAGGCTTTTATATTATGGAGTTCATATTTGGGTTCATGTAATAATGCAGAATTTACTGATTTCTTTTGCAGATGAAGCTGTTTGAAAGCATTAAGCCCCTCTTTGTGAACAAGGTAAGCAATGCCACAAATTAACAAGTATTAATCAGACCACTGTGTTCAATGATTCACTTCAGTAACAACAGATTATATCCAGTTTCATTCAGTTTTTGATTTTACTGCAGGAACATGTGGAAGTGTAGAACTATGGTGAAATGTTCAATGAACCATTTAGCATGACATTTAAATTCTGTGGTTAACATGCACATGTGGATTTAATTGAAATTTAAACCATCTCAAAGTGTTGCATGTTATAAAATAGAGTATTTATCACATTTTTAAGCCAAAACCTTGAAATAAAAACTGTTATTGAGAATGAACCCATTTACCTGCACATAAAGTTTAATAATAATCAGTCTTTATATACACACCTACTTTACATTTATTTAAAATTATTTTAATTTTTTCATATTTTAATAAATTAGTCTTCAAATTTAACCTCATACTGCATATTTATGGTGGCAGAAAATCTTGGATTCACCTGTACTTGGCTTGGAACTGCTACAGGCATGTTTGTTTGGTCTGCTTAATCTCATTGGAATGAATACAATCTTTCCCTTTGGTTGTGGTCTGATTACAGTTTAAAGTTTATCAACAATAAGTAGTTTCAAATACAAAAAGTAAAAATGACCTAAGGCATACCAGTTTATATTAGCAGACACATATTACATGAATGGGTAAGCAACGTCAGAAGATTATTTGGATTGTGAATAAGTTTACTCCAGCAGGTATCAGAGGCCATATATTATCTAGGTCCTGGGTTCAAATCTTGGCCTGGAGACTGGCTATCCTGACTGGGGTTTAATGGCACAAGTTTGCATAGAAGCAGACAACTTTCAGAAGTTAATATAGTGTTTCATGTAGTTAGTGGAGATCAGTTCCACTACTTATTTACACAATATGAAAAAGTGTGTCACTGTGTTCTTGTATTGTAATTGTACGCAAATTTATTTATTATTGTTATTACTTTGAGAGTGTCTTATGTTGCAGCCATTATTGGTGGTACTGAACAAAGCAGACATAGTGAAGTTGGAAGAACTGAGCCCCGAGAAGCGGGCTCTGTTGGCACCCCTCGAGTCAGAGAACATTCCTGTTATGGAGATGAGCACAGTTGCAGAGCAGGGCGTCATGGAAGTGAAGCAGGAGGTGAGACTTCACATGTATTAATTTGTCTACACACTTCTGAATGTCTACGTGTATATCACTTCTTATTCTCTTGGTCTGTGAACAGATCAATAATGCTAGGCCTTATTTCATTCATCCTCTATGCCATAATATTATATATGTGGCTATGATACATATAAAATTAATTTTAAACTGTTAACTATTAGGTGCACATCTGTGCCCAAATAGCATTTTTTAATTTTGTTCTTTTTAAGTGTTTCTCATTAGATGTTTTGTTTCATTGTCTAATTTATAAAATGCCTGAGATATAAATAATGCAGTTTATTATTCATAATTTTATGTACCTTAAAATCTGTATGGTATTTAAGAATATTTTAACATGAAAAAGAAATTCTGAAACATTTTTTGTGATGGGTATTTTAATTTTAAGTTACTGGAATATGTGAAGCAGGAATAATAACCAGTGCACTAGGGTAGTGTGGTGCTGATGCACTGGGAAAAAGATGGCATCCAGGAAAACTTGATATTGCTCCCACACCTGTTCATGTCCATTGTTATAGGAAAATTGAAATCCCGTTAAAACTTAAAAAAGCAGCAGCTTGTGTAAGATCTTTTCACAAGTATTTAGATGTATTTCCCATGTCTAATTCATCTGGTTTCCAAAATTTTACATTGATCAAGCTTTCTATATGATGCATTTGATTTGTGTTTAGGAGGTACTCAGCTTGAAATAGAGCTATAGTACAATAACAACTCTGTTAACTATCTTTCCCTTTGGTTGTGGTCTGATTACAGTTTAAAGTTTATCAACAATAAGTAGTTTCAAATACAAAAAGTAAAAATGACCTAAGGCATACCAGTTTATATTAGCAGACACATATTACATGAATGGGTAAGCAACGTCAGAAGATTATTTGGATTGTGAATAAGTTTACTCCAGCAGGTATCAGAGGCCATATATTATCTAGGTCCTGGGTTCAAATCTTGGCCTGGAGACTGGCTATCCTGACTGGGGTTTAATGGCACAAGTTTGCATAGAAGCAGACAACTTTCAGAAGTTAATATAGTGTTTCATGTAGTTAGTGGAGATCAGTTCCACTACTTATTTACACAATATGAAAAAGTGTGTCACTGTGTTCTTGTATTGTAATTGTACGCAAATTTATTTATTATTGTTATTACTTTGAGAGTGTCTTATGTTGCAGCCATTATTGGTGGTACTGAACAAAGCAGACATAGTGAAGTTGGAAGAACTGAGCCCCGAGAAGCGGGCTCTGTTGGCACCCCTCGAGTCAGAGAACATTCCTGTTATGGAGATGAGCACAGTTGCAGAGCAGGGCGTCATGGAAGTGAAGCAGGAGGTGAGACTTCACATGTATTAATTTGTCTACACACTTCTGAATGTCTACGTGTATATCACTTCTTATTCTCTTGGTCTGTGAACAGATCAATAATGCTAGGCCTTATTTCATTCATCCTCTATGCCATAATATTATATATGTGGCTATGATACATATAAAATTAATTTTAAACTGTTAACTATTAGGTGCACATCTGTGCCCAAATAGCATTTTTTAATTTTGTTCTTTTTAAGTGTTTCTCATTAGATGTTTTGTTTCATTGTCTAATTTATAAAATGCCTGAGATATAAATAATGCAGTTTATTATTCATAATTTTATGTACCTTAAAATCTGTATGGTATTTAAGAATATTTTAACATGAAAAAGAAATTCTGAAACATTTTTTGTGATGGGTATTTTAATTTTAAGTTACTGGAATATGTGAAGCAGGAATAATAACCAGTGCACTAGGGTAGTGTGGTGCTGATGCACTGGGAAAAAGATGGCATCCAGGAAAACTTGATATTGCTCCCACACCTGTTCATGTCCATTGTTATAGGAAAATTGAAATCCCGTTAAAACTTAAAAAAGCAGCAGCTTGTGTAAGATCTTTTCACAAGTATTTAGATGTATTTCCCATGTCTAATTCATCTGGTTTCCAAAATTTTACATTGATCAAGCTTTCTATATGATGCATTTGATTTGTGTTTAGGAGGTACTCAGCTTGAAATAGAGCTATAGTACAATAACAACTCTGTTAACTGACCCTCAATTATCTGACTCCTGCATTAGTTGACCAAACTTCAACCAGATCAGTTGCGATCGGTTTCTTCCAACAAGAGTCCATAAAGCAAAACCCACGTGGTAAAAGCGACTATCCCTCCAACGTGTGTTTTCAGTCCGCGTGGAGATGCCATGCTGTTTACATCATGTGTTGCAAAACTGTGCATTAGTGTGCATATTTTATTATATATATAAACTGAAGACTGCTTTGAAGGGCCACAGATGTTCATACATTGGCAACATAAACACCAACTCACTAAGTGCATGGAGACTACTTTGAAGGTGACAGTAGCCATTAGTGTGTAAGTAATTATGTACAGCTTTTGTGGGGGCATTCCAGGAATGTAATTGTCATATCTCTTATTACTACAGATATAGGGAGTTATTTTTGTTCTAACTGGTCATTGAAGCAGGAGCTGACTGCTTATGATATTTAAGCTAATCAAATAAAACAGTAATAATGAATTAGTGTGGGAAACTGTCACTGTAATACAAGCAACTGTAGCCATATGGATATCAGACTGTGTTCTTTTCTAACAGATGTATTCACGCACGTGTGCGTGCACACATACATACACCCACATGCACACCCATACCCACACGCACATACAATCATCATAGTTGGTTATGTTGGTAGGCATGTGAGAGACTTCTTGCATACAGAGTTGAGATGAAAGTGAAAACAAAGAAGGTGGAAGGTGTCCTGAACCGTCTGCACGTTGCCTTGCCGGCATCAAGAGATGAGAAAGCTCGCCCACCCTGTATACCAGGTAAGCAGTGACTGTGCGGGCAGAGCTCTAAAGTTCCAGATTACCTCGTTGCTTTTTCTGCTGCTAATGGGTAATAACATCTACGGCATGGGACCATTGGCTTTACTTCACCTCTGAAGGAAGTTGTGCTACAGATTTTTATCACACTTAAAAATCCTTCGACCTCAGCCATGTTTGAACCCACGAACCTTGGGTCCAGTGGCGAGCACGCAAACCACTAGTCCACAGAGGGTGACACTATTTTATTACTAACATTCCCAAATGAAAATATATGGTACTGGTACCTGACTGGCTGATTTGTTTGCATACCAGACCCTTAATCTTTGGATAGAATAGTAGTATTCACCATTCACACCTGTCAACCTTCAGTGTAAACAGGGATTATTTCCTATAACAGCATTAACCAGTTGATTTTTGTGATGGAGAAGCATTGTGTCTTCTTTGATGTATGGAGTGAATTCTTAGGTGTTGTGTAGATGGAGTTTGGCTTCAAGGTGTTCAATCTGTTGTATAAGAAAACCGTTTCATACCAGTGAAAGGTTAATGAAGGAATGTTTCGCTGTTCTCATTATGTTGTATTGTGAGCAGTCTGCTCTTGTACTATAGAAATTCTTGCTACAGACATCTCAGTTACTTCATTCTTGTCTTTCTGAGTTTGTAGTGTATGGTACATTCACATTGTGAATACACAGTATTTTTTTGTGATGTCTATAATATTCATCACCTGTTTGTGATTGGCATTAAACAGAATTCTAATCTGGATGCTTCTACATCAGAGCATCCATGAATAAGCTGATCACCCCAGATTTTGATTGCATTTCAATTAAAAAATGTGTGTGTGAATGTTTTTCAAAAATGTAATATTATGATAATTTGTCATTGTGTGAGGAAATAAGAGGCCTAGAATGTTCTTGTGTTTGTAACTGGTATAAAATTGAGAGATATCCCAATTGCTTGTAGAGAATGTGCTGAAACGTCGTCAGGAGGCTGCCACACGTGGAGTGAAGCGTAAGCTGGAGAAGGATATTGAGGAAGAGATGGGAGATGATTATATTCTAGATCTTAAGAAGAACTATGACTTACCAGATAGTTATAAGTATGACATCATTCCTGAGATCTGGGAAGGACACAACATTGCTGACTACATAGACCCAGACATGTTTGAGGTATCAAAACATTCTTAAGATTTGGATCTCTATAGACCATGTTTCTGTTCATCAAGTTGACATGAAAGCTAATCTGTACAATTAAGGGAATAATTTGCTGAAGTGGGGCCCACAAGAATCTTATTTCTTGATTGTAATATTTTTGTGCTTTTATTTTCTATAAAACAGACAGGTTTGGTGTGCCGTGTGAATCAGCTGCAGTGTGTTTTTGGTGTCCGTATTAAAATGAACCTACACAGTTGGATCTGTTAGATGGAGCTGATCTTAATATGTGGGCATTGGGAAATGGGCTTCCTAGACTGTATAATCCAATTGTGTAAAGATCTGTCTGTGGTTAATAATACAGGTAGCCCTCGATTTATGCCGAGGATGTGTTCCTGGACAAACCGGCATAAGCATATATTGGAACGATTTTATAATGTAATTCAATGGGAAGTCAATGACATGCGTTCCCAGCACCCAAACATTGACGAGTAATATGATGGCATTACATTTAAAGCTCTGAAATAACATAAATATAACAAAGGGAATTTAAAAAATATATTTTATACACTTACAATCGGCAATTTGTTGATCTCCGCGATTCTCTCATGTGATTGATGTGTACAGTCATCTCTGCTGTTATGCGATAGTTACATTCTTGTAAGACGCCAGCCTATAGAAAATCGTGTAGTAAAAATAACCCCGGTACCTCCGCAGAGATTAAATTAATCCTTTGAAAGTTTAAAATGCCAGGAATGAACTTGCATAAGAGCAAACTCGCATATGCAAAAGTTTGCATTTCACAAATAGCTTTTACCGATTCATCTATCTAATTGGAGCAAATTCGCATTTACAAAACATACGTAATTGCAGAGATGACTGTATTTATAATGTTTATTCAAAATCAGTGATGTAAGAATTACGATTTAGTATAAGAAGCAGTACGAGATACATTTTAAAACTTTATAAATAATAGTAAAATATATTTTTTTTACTTTTTGACTTTCTGGTTTCAAAATCGGCACAAATCGAGGGCTACCTGTATGTCAAATAAATATTAGAATTATACAGAAATTTCAACCAAAATGAAGGACCAATATACTGTCTTATTTGAGGCTACTATATATTATTTTATGATTCCTTCATTTTGGCTGAATCCTGTACAGTTTTAATATTTATTTTACATATTATGGCTAGGGGATGCTTATTCATTGCCCATGCACCAGCTTAGTACCATATTCTCTATTTTGAGTAAGTTGAATAAAAAAGAAAATACATATTTTTCATACAGAATAAAATACTATAAAATGGATAGAGTTTAAATTTAAAGAAAAGTTTTTATGTTGTGCTTACAGAAACTGACACAGCTGGAAGCAGAGGAGGTGGCACGTGAAGAGGCGGGTTACTATGCAGTGCCCAAGATAGAGATGGATGAGACCCTGAAAGAGATTCGGGAGTTGGCACGTCAAATCCGGGATAAGAAAATCATCATGAGGCAGGAGCGGGCCATCGTGAAGAACTCCACTAAGCCTGTTGTACCCCGAACAGCTCCTGCCAAGGTTCGTGGCCGTAGTGTGTCACGCCTTTGTTCTGAGATGGAGCAGCTTGGAGTAGATATGTCTGATACCAGTGGTGTAAGTATTGATTTTGTTTGCTTACTTCAGTATGTGTTAGATAATACAACACTAAAACAGCTTGATTTGAATTGGCATTGCTAAGTAGTGATTTGTTAGTGTGTGCACAAATCACTTAAGATTGTCAACATATGGATTATGGTGTATATAGAAGAAGAGGTATTTAACTAAATTCATTGAAGACATGCTGAAGATGTTAATTTATTGGGTGAAGACACAAGTATCATGAAGATTCATGCTATATTGGATGCTGGTATGGAAGTTAGTCTATGAGTAAATGCAGAGAAGATTAGTATATATTCATGTCTCATCACCAAACTCCAGGACAAAATCATTATATAATGTCAGCTAATAAATCTTTTGAAAACACAGTTAAGTTAAAATGTTCAGGAACAACGTAAACAGATAAGAATTTCATTCATGGCGACATTAAGAGCAGGCTTACGTCTCTGAAGGCCAACCTTCTGGCAAACCGGAGAGTGTGTGTTGAATTTTGCCGGAAACCGAGCCTCTGATAAATCTGCAGTCGCTTGATTTTTTGCCTCAAGGTTTACTGGATGTTTACAAGTCGTAACGTGTGTGGGCAGAGACGAGGGTAAAGGCAAGGCTTGTAGCATTTACTCATCTCAACCAGCCACCAAGAACTTCAAATCCTTGTAGTTTAACTAAGTTAAACTAAGTTTAACAGTTCCAAATATGTGTCCTCATCCATTCGCAGGTAGTTATGCCAGTCCGTCGGCTCTAATCGAATTTCATTCAACAAATTTATGTGAGAATGTTTTGATCCATCTAACCAACTTCTGACCCACTTAGAACGTTTCAGCTTTCTCTTCTTTTTCAACATTAAAGTAACAGCAAGACCGATTAAAATCACATCGTCTTCACTGAACATGTAGAACATGAAGAATAAAAAGACTGAGCACAAACCTGCCATAAAGTCTGTACATGTGTGGACTCTCAGAGGTTTGAGGCTTACCTTCCGAATTTGACTTGGAAGGCAGGCCTTCCGGTAAGCCATAGTGTGTGTGAAGTGACAGGAGGCTGGAGAATATTGTGTAATGTGGTGCTTCATAATTTGTACTCTTCACCAAATATTAGGATGATCAAAACATGGAGGATGAGATGGGCATTGCATGTTGTGCGTATAGGGGAGATGAGAAATGCAAAAAGGTTTTGCTTGGAAAACCTGAAGGGTAGAGGCCATTTAGGCAACCTCAAATCTTACATAACCTAGTTGTAGGTGGGAGGATAGTATTAAAAGTAATCTTAAGGAAATCAGGTTTGCGGGTGTGGAATGCATTTATCTGACTTAAGATGGACACCAGTATTGGGCTCTTGTGAACCTTCAGGTTCTTTAATATACAGGGAATTTCTTGACTAGCTGAGTGTACTATTGGCTTCTCAAGAAAGACTACATCACTGAGTTAGTTAAGTTCATTGATATTTTCTCCAACACGGAGAGGGAAATAGAGAAATATATGCATTTTTTCCAGCAATCATGTGATTTAATAGTTTCTTAAAAATGTTTATAAAAACAATATTACGTTATTCAGGTTCATTTGGGTGTACTGACTTAATGAAAAGTCTCTTGTCTCAGAGTTGTATCTACTGCTCTTCTTTCAGTAGCATTATATGAAATGTTTGGATAGATGGTTGTGTTAGTCAGCATCTCAGATATTTATTTATTTATTTTCATGTGTATTGGCAAGACCTGAACTTTGTGAGGGAATATTTTTTAATATTTTATAAATGTTATAAAGTTTTAGCTGTTTCTAGGATACTGTTTGAGACAGTAATTAGTAACAATGTACAATCAATGTGATTGGCCTGATAGACAAAGAAAAGTGAAGTTGGTTGTTTCTCATGGAAGGAAGGTTTTAAAATATATTTTTCTTTTGAGATAGGAAATACCTGGAGTTTAATATTTCTATAGAACAAATGGCTAGAGATCATGGACATTCTACCTTTATATAACATTTTTTAAATTAATGTTCCGGTAATTTATTTATTAAAAGTACTCGTTACAGATATTTCGTTCGTGCTATAGCACAACTGATATTATTAGTTGATTGTCTTTGTTATGATTGCTAGCATGAAGGAATTAATGAACTTGATACTAACCTTGATATTGTGCCATACAAGCTTACACTTATTGCTTAAGAGCTGTGCCTCAGAAATTGTTGAAGAATAGATCTTCCTTAAGTCCTGTAGATTTCAGTTTTTAAGTTTGGTACCCAGACCCAAACATCACCTTCAGTTTAAAAAAATATTTTTATTGAAGAAAATTAAGGTATCAGCAATCAAATCTCTTTTTTATTGCAAAAGAAAAGTTGCAGGTGGATAGTAGAAAATGTTTATGCATATAAATCTTATTTTACTTAAACTGACAGGTGATGTTTCATTTTATTGGTGAACTAAGCTGACAGTTTTGAAATGTAATTATGATTACCATGTTGATGGCAAAGATATGAAGTGCTTTGCACTTCAGTTTGTCTGTTTACACAACATGAACAGTGTTATTTTTTTATCCACTAGGCCCATTTCACCAGGACTCGAAGCAAGGTCCGTTCTGTGTCTCGTCCTCCATTGAAACGCATGCGGGTTGATTCGGAAGGTCGGTCCAGGAGTATGTCTCAACCACCCAGAGATGAGATGGGCATCAAGGACATTGCTGTAAGTTTACATCTTTACTGTATCTCACAACTGGCTGTTGTAGCTAAGTTCCTGAATGTCTCCCAATTCTGACAAGAGAATGGCAGGTTAGTGTCTTGTTTTCTTCTGATCCATCAGCAAAGATTTGATATGTAGAACTGGGGAGCAACAGCAAATACCATACAATGCTCCGATTTATTTTGTCGTATATGGAGTTGCATTGGCTTAAAGGATTAATGTTGGCGTCTTTGCTTCCCTTCACCTGATTCCAAAGGTTTTCCTGCGTCATTATTTTCCCTCAGCAACTGATAATTTGAAGATGGTGTGTGTGATAACACACATTTCTGTGACACATATGAAGCTGTTTTGATTCATACCTGGTCTGGGTGATGTCAGGCATGAACCCCAAAGTTCAAGCTTAGGGGATAAGCACAGACAATTGAGCTATCACATGAAGGTATGCATATTTACTCCATACCTCACATACCTGTTACTGCTTTGAAATACCTTGAGTGCTGAGTCATTACTTTCTGGGAATACTTCACTGAAAAAGAGTAATGAAAGTGATGACACTTAGAAACAGTCTCAAGGATGCTCAAAAATCTGAGAGGCAAACTGGTCTCATTCATCAGTAGTCTGAGAATTCTGAGCACATTTCATTCTCTTTCTAAAATTGGCTATGTTCATTCTGACCAGTGTTATGTTACATGTATAAACAGCATCACCTTGAGAAAGACAATCTCAATAAACCATGTATTATACAGTGAACCCCAGTGTTAACAGTTTTGGAAAAACTTGATGCTCCTGCAAAGTCACCATTTCACAGTGATTGTGATCCAGTTGGCAGTATTCCTGGTTCCCTGTGTTAACCCTGCCAGGAAAAGAGTTCTCAATAGTAATCCCCTTTTTGCCCACTAACACCCAACATACCAATCACTGATCGAGTCTGGCATGAACAGGACCATTGCAGGGCCCACTAACACCCAACATACCAATCACCGATTGAGCCTGGCATGAACAGGACCATTGCAGACTTTTCATTTCCAAGCCAAATTGGCAAAGCAGGTTACTTATGTTTCTATTCTTCCTAATTACTTGTGGAATAGCTGACAGAGTTTCATTAACTTTCCTAGGAAAGTATTTCCACTGAAAGGGGGTCTTATGACACACAGCAAAATTTTAGTATAACAAAGGTTCTGTGGACTGACAAATTTTCTTCATTATAATGAAGTTTTGCTACAATGAAAAGAATCTCAGATTCTACGTCCTGTCACTCCTTTACTACTGTCACTGTGATACACATTTACTTCAGAAATACCCCTCATGTTGACACTGCAGGGTTGTGTGTGTATTTGAATATAGCTTGGGAAGGGTTCATAGTGTGATGTGGCTCCAAAAGAGCTTTTGGCTCACACTGGAGGGGAGGGACCATCTAACTCCCCTCCCTGGCTAGTGGACGCAGGCTATGGGTGTGGCCGCCACAGAATTTTCCAGACGGCGCATTCCCCTCCTTAAACCTAACCTTCCATAAAGCGTATCTTCAAGATCCTTGATCTGGAACATTCCACAACTGGGCTGGCGAATATAAAAGGTCACCTGCCTGAGTGCTGGTAGTCTAGAGTTGATAGTGGATGGTGGAGCAGAAGTGGAGAGTGTGGAAGAGTGAAGTCTTGTATGAAGTGGTGAGAGTCTTGCGTGGGTGGAAGACTACGTTAAGAGTGTGAAGAGAGTGCAGAGCCATCGAGCGGTCTGGTGTGGCGCTGAATGAAGAGTGAGGATTGGTTGCGTGCGAGGAGCACCAGGTTCGTGGACTGTCGTGGCTGAGGAGCCAGCATGTGTCCAGTGGAGTGCTACAGGCTGAAGGCTGCGAGTCGAGAGCACCGGGTTTGTGGACTGTGGTGGCTGAGGGGTCAGCGTGTGTCCAGTGGGGGTGCTGAGGGCCTGAAGCTGCGTGTGAGGAGCACCGGGTCTGTGGACCATGGCAGCTGAGGAGCCAGCGTGTGTCCATTGTTGTCAATAAATCAGAGCTGACATAGAGAGCCCATAACAATAGTCGATAGGTGTTGACGTCACAATATGTTATACTTACATGCATTTTTAATGCAATACACATTCAAGAGTTCTGCTTTATATTATTATTAAAAATGAAATATCACACTTTTACATAAATTTGTAACAGCAGACTACTTTCTTTCACCAATTTTCAGTCATCTTGCTCCTTTTTGTGATATGCCATTTAAGTTTGCAGTTATTGTTATACTGTATATTTACTGTATGCTAAAATTATACTGAAAAATTATAACCCAGTATCTTCAACTGAGTGTGTTGTAGACGTATGGAGCACCTTTCACAGCCACACAACTTTATAATGATGTGATGCTTCCACTGTACTGAGGATTGCAACATCCAACAATAAAAATTTCTTATATATAATATTATTCATCAACACCCCATAAATAGATTATAGAGTCAGTTTTAATTTTCATCTTATCCTATGACACTTAACAAATAAACGGGGTTATAACTTTTCAGTAGATTTCTTTAGCAGAAAAACGGATGAATTCATACTACAGGTAGCCCTCGATTTGCACCGGTTAAATTTGAGCCAATTCAGAATAATGCCTATTTTGAAACCAGAAAGTCAAACAAATATATTTTACTATTATTTATAAAGTTTTAAAATGTATCTCGTACTGCTTCTTATACTAAATCGTAATTCTTACATCGCTGATTTTGAATAAACATTATAAATACAGTCATCTCTGCAATTACGTATGTTTCATAAATGCGAATTTCCTCCAATTAGATCGATGAATCGGTAAAAGCTGTTTGTGAAATGCAAACTTTTGCAAATGCAAGTTTGCTCTTATGCAATTTCATTCCTGGCACTTAAAACTTTCAAAGGACTAATTTAATTTCTGCAGAGGTACCGGGGTTATTTTTACTACGCGATTTTGTATAGGTCGGCGTCTTACATGAATGCAACTATCGCATAACAGCAGAGATGACTGTACACATCAATCACATGGAAGAATCGCAGTCAATTGCAGGGACTAATGAATTCCAATTGTAAGTGTATATAATATAGTATTTTTTAAATTCCCTTGATTTTATTTACATTATTTCAGAGCTTTAAATGTAATGCCTTTATATTACTCGTCAATGTTTGGGTGCTGGGAACGCATGTCATTGACTTCCGATTGATTTACATTATAAAAGAGTTTCAATTTACGCCGGTTCGTCCATGAACGCATCCCCGGCGTAAATTGAGGGCTACCTGTACAATAATAACTACGAATCATGAAAGTTTATTATGTAACATGAGTGTATATACCAATAAGTGCTTTGTTTTGATGCCAAGTGTTTCCTGTTGTATTAATTTCGTAACAAACTAGTTGTATCTTTGCAGACGATGTGGCTGACTGGCTACATACCCAGTACTTGGGCCAACACAAATGACTAATTTTCATGTTGTTGTTTTTTTCTCCACAGATGAAAAAGAAGTTGAAGAAGGCTGCCCATAAAGCAATTGCAAAGAAGGTTGGCAAGAAAGGTCTTAAGGGTGAAGCTGACAGATTCATTGGCACCAAGATGCCTAAGCATTTGTTTTCTGGAAAGCGTGGTATTGGCAAAACTGATCGTCGATAATGTACCATTGTTATAATATTAAAGATGTTATTTTTCTTTCATTGTGGAGTGGTGTCTTATCTCCATGGTATTACATTTTCCAGACTTTGTTGCCATCAGAGCTTGATCACCATGAAAAACTGTGATCACTTGTCTTACTATTATGCTCAAAAATGTTTTCTGGTGAATGTTATACTATTTCTTTTTAGGTATTGGAGGTATACAAATGTTTACCTCCAAACCTCAAACCTTCCAATACTATGAATCACTTCTCAAAAAGGCAACATTCTTGCTAGTATGGTGAGTTTAGAGACGCTTTAAAAAACGTGATTAACCAACTAGATGGCTTAGGGAATCTGAAGGTTCATCATCTAATTAACCAAAGCTGGTTAAAAAAAATTTTCTACCTGTTCAAAATTTTGATTGCATCTGCCAGTAAGTTGCCATTATCATGCTTTACCAAATTAGTTGGAAGTTGATATCCTTTCTTAAAATCATTTATGCCTTTGTACATACCTCTGATATTTTTGTCCTTACTATTTGTTTCAAGCTCAGTAATTTTGCCTTTCAGATATTCCCGTTTCTTATTCCTAAAGGTTCTACTAGCTTCACATCTGACATTACATAGATTATCCATATTCGTTTTGTTTGGGTCGTGCAGCCATGGAAATTTTGTTTGCTTCCTTTGATCTATTAATTTTGAATATTCTTGATAAAACCATGGTTTATTTTGCTTTCTCCTGCTGTATCCTAGTTTCTCTTTGGCTGAAATTTTGACATTTTCCCACTCCCTGCTGATATTTATACTTTCATCATCTTTATCCATCTCTATTATTTGAAACCTATTCAGAATTATGATCTGATATTGCTTCTTTGCCTCTCCCTCATTTAATTTTTTGAAATCTGATATTTCTGTGTTGAAATTTTGCTTAATATGTCTACTTACTGAAAGCCTCTCCCCCACTTTTGCCAATATCATATAATGTCAGTGTCACAATCTGCTCCTCTGAATGACCTCACATCAATTATACTTGTGTACCTTATATTATCTACTAAAACATGATCTATCAGATTGTGTGTGCTACAATCTGGAGAAGTCCAAGTGTATTGTATCTAAACTCATTACAATTAGATCTTTTGATGTCACAAATTTTGTTGCTCTAACACCATTGTCATTACAAAGTGCATGTAGACTCGTTACCTATTGGGGGTTTGAAAATATCCTCAGCCAATTTTTGCATTGAAATCTAGTAGAATTTTTGTGTGATACTTGGCAAATGTATCAAATTCTGATTCTACTTCATAAAGCTATACTTGATATCATCGCTTTTGTCTTCAGTTGGGGCATAAACATTAAGGACAATAACACCAACTTTTTTTCCAAATTATGTAAGACAACCTGTCACGAACAAATTCCACTGTCTTAAGTGCTGCCCTAATTCTGCTATGAAGCCAAAAACCCTGTCTCCATCTGATGATTATTATTCCCCTTTCCATAGAAAATTTTCCATTGGGATCATACCCTTCCCCTCCTATCTCACTTTCACTGCCCTTACATGTAACTTATACTATTATATATATATATATATTCCTAACTCCTGGTTCCAAATCTCAAATCAATTTTTGAATTACTATTGGTCGTGCCAAAGATTGTCCAGTACCGAGGCTTGGAAATTTTTTCGTAACAATATAGTTTTTTACGGTGGAAGGTTGTTATCCTCACGCCCAACCCCCATGCTGGAGGGCCACCCCTTGTCAGCTGTCCACGGCTGCATATTCAATATATTCGAAGCTAATCTCCGTAAGTGGATGCCTGTTCCTCCATCCGCAACCTGAGGATGCGCCATGCCGTGGTGTCACGGACCCACCAAACATGGTCAAAAACATGATTATTCACCTTAAATCCAGTATTCAGTTATGATGTCATTGTGAATTTCAGCAGGTTCCTGGAAGTGTTTTGTAAGTGAAATTTCATGAAATTGTGTGAGCAATATCAAACAGGTACTACATTTCATGGAAGTGATACGTTATCAGAGATAACATAATGTTTCGAAAAATTATACCGCCCATTTTCAGTGGCCTTGATCGAGATGGCGCATTCTCTCTGTTTTTTCCTGAAGTGTGTTCGGCTATTAATGCATAGGTCGTCATTTCAAAGTGTCTGTTTGTACGGCAAACATGTTTTGCAATGGCGCAGCTAGCAGATATCGGTGGAACACCTGTAGGACACCCACCTCGCCCCGTGTGATTTTTGGGCATTTCCAACGTATAAACATAAGGTACGAGGACAAATTCTGCACTAACACTGAAGTGAAACAAGCTACCGCTGCTATCCTACGTAAGATGTCCGGAAATGGCCTACTGCACGTGTTTAAGAAGTGGGTGGGGAGCTACAGAAAATGTATAGCTTAATTATAGTGAGGAAAATAATGACAAGTTTTTCGTTACATACCAGGAAAAATAGTACAAAATGAGAGATTTTTTCCCAGCATTTTCATTAAAGAGTGTTTCCTACCTTGTCATCGGTTTTCTTCCATGAGTTTTGCATTAACTGTACTTGCAGTTTTATATCTGAAATAATTTGTGGTTAGCAATCCATGTAGTTTCTTAGCTTTTGTACCTCTAGTCTAGAAGAAGGAAGTCTAGATTCCAGTTTCTCTTGTTGGCATTTACCTTGTTTCTGAAAGGGACAAGACTGGGAAGGGTGTTGGCATGACATGCTCTGCTCAGTACTGCTGTCTAAAAAGACACTTCTCCATTTTTGCTCATTATCAGCATTGTGTATGTGTAGTTATGGAGTAAATACTGTCACACATTGTTTTTTGGATGGTGAATACCTGTTTTGCTATCTCATACAAACCAAGCCATAAGCCAACAAAACTGACATGGGCATTGTCTGTAAAGTGGCAACTTTTAAACTGGAAGAAACAGACAACATGCACCAACTTCTGAAATTACTCTTCATAATCAGTCATAGGACAAATGCTCATGTTTGTTTGGCCTGTGATAATGTTTCTGGAATGTAGTAAGACTATCTTCATGTCCCCACAATTACTTTGGCAGCGACAGTCCACCAATGCACATTTTGTGTGCCTTCTCTACCTTACTCCCTCCAAGTTGAGGAATGGCTGTCATGTGATGCCCTCTACCATGAAAAAAAAGTTCTACCAGCTACACTGTTTTTCTCAGGTGATTAACATGTTGCCAATTGATCACACTGCTCTGCTCTTAACTACATGCAATTGATGAGTGATATTTCTGTATCTTTTGCTGCAATCTGCATAGTGAACTGTCCCATTGGTGATTCCAGTTTACAAATGTGTAATCCTACTGCCATCCCTTAATTTTTGTTTGGTTGCAAATCAACTGATCCACATGCCTTAAACTGCATAAACTTTCAGTATACCTAGAAAATGTTAAAAATTGAACTCTACAATTCTTTACCTTGTTTCTCTTGCTTTCACAAATTACAGAATGTACAACTAATCTTAAATCCTAGAAAATAACTTATGTTTACTATTAGTGAAGATTCCAAGTGTTATTGCTTTTGGGAAGAATCTCTTCTTCTTGTGCCAACCTACCCTATATTCTCCATCAATCTGCAGGATGCTGAAAATGTCCCCGCACTGGCTTGAACACATTTTCTTATAGCTTTTAAACAGTTTGTGGCTCATATGCTGTATTTGTTTCATGTATGACTTGATTTGATAGAATATGTACTTTTTAAATATACCCAATATATCACAAAGGTAGTTGCTCCAGTATTCAATCCATCTTCAGGTCTCAGTGTCAGACAGTGATGGAAACTATAAACCTAATCAAATTAGACTTCATAGTACTAAAAAGTACATCAAAAACCCTGTAAAGTCAAAAAGTTAGGTGCTTATGGGTACTGGAAGTGCTTGATGACAATTTTTACAGTAGCTACTAAGAAGTACAGTTACAAAATAAATAATCAGGCAAATTTAGTTACATATATACCAGTTTTAAATCTTTTGAACAAAGGTAACAAGTGCTCACTGAAACAATACAATGGCTCAAGCAGGTTACATTTATGAATTCTTTGAAGCTTTATCATAACTAGGGATGCAGTGGTAAGTGACAAGTACTATGCTTTGTCACAGTAAAGTGAAACTTATAGTCAACAGGCATTGATCCTTAACTATCACTGCTGAAACCAAACCATAGCAAAGATATGAAACATTTTATGTGTAATGTTCATGAACATTGTGCAATTTTTGTACATTACTGACTTTAATAAGATAAGCAGTCAGTTAATACTGGAAAGTTATCCTGAAGTGTGGAAATTGCTTTTCATTGTATAAGATCACCCCTTTTTGGGTGTTGATAGTCTAGTAGATTTCATAAGAAAACCCATTTCCAAGCCCAACACCAAGATGCTCCCTGAAGAGGTGGTTTGCTCTAAATACACAACTAAGAAAGGGATACATTCTAAAAACCAATCTTTATTAGTTCCACACACACACATACATACATTTGTCTCATTCTGTTTTATTATACTGCCATCTTAAATGTGTACAAAAATTAAACATTCCACTGAAAACAATGCATACTATTTTGTATGACAAATATACTGCTATATGAGGAAAACCATATTTTGGCATTTTACACAGTAACTGTTAGTTAAGAAAAAATGTTAACTGGGCTGCAAACACCATCGACTAAGGCTTTGATGACTAATAAGGGCTAGCTACACAGGATAAATTATTTTAAACAGCACAGGATGTGTATTGAACTGAAATACAATGAGATCTAATGCAAGGCCTTTCCTGACTTCTGGGTGTTAACATCACATGGAAAAATATAACATTTCAGATGTTTCACTTCTCAGAATGGAAATGAAAACCAGTCGATTAGGGGTGCTTGACCTCTTCAAAACCCAAGGCTCCATTTACCCTTGCTTACTGACTTATGGGCAACAATATTATGAATGTGGACAATTTATTGAACCTTCAAGACAATTTATTAAAAATGGTACTGAGGCCATTAGTAGAACAGTATCAGTAACTACTATTCATCATATAGGGTAACTCAATATCACAATAAATATATGTTGGCTGCACAAAACACACTTGTGGCCTGCTGGTTGAGCACTCTGCTGTAGCTCACTTGCATTATAGACACTGGTTGGATGAGAACGTTTTGTATTTATCTGATACATTTAATTCAAAAACTTAAATTATCATGGTGCTACAACCTAGAAGACAGCCATATTCAGACTCACTGCTGTGAAAATCTAACATACTACTAAATAAGCAAGTATTTTAAGCTTAAATATGTTTGACTGAAGAAAAATACCCATTTGAAACCAAAGATCAGTAGATTACTCAAATTTTCATGGGCATATCTAATTGGTTTCAAGGGCTGCATCCCTCTCAGTTAAACCATCCACATTCCATGGGTTCATTTCAGTATGGGTCCATTATGCAAATTATACTTCAACATGAACCCTTGTTTCACTCCAGAATTTAGACTGCAATGTAGCCATATTCAACTTTAGTTATTGTAATTCTGAAGGTGCCTGCAGCACAATTTTCATTATAATATAGTACAGATATCAAAATCTCAAAAGTATTATTTCCCTATGATTCACTACATTGGTGAGTGGAACTTACAAAACATTGCCTTTCTGATTCATGCATGTTTATGGAGTTATTCTTTTGGGGTCACGTGGAAACATCGACGTTTTCCGGATGTTGTCTAAACCTAAATACAACATGACAACTCTTTCCAGTCCAATACCACCACCTGCATGAGGAGGACAGCCGAAACGGAAGGAATCTATGTATGCCTTAATCTTCTCAAGATCTGCAAAAAGAATAATATTCTAATGTGATAATGGCCAAAACAAATGAGTACTAAGTAAACAAGAATAAATCAGTTACAGTGCAATCTAAGCTTGTAGACATTCTTTATACATAGAATTCCCAAAGAAAGATGCATGTCTCTGTGACCTAACAACAACAATGCTCTCACTAAATGGATTTATATGAAATTTTATATCAAGAAAACCTTAAGAATGTAGAATCTAAAACTAAATGTTGAGATAAATTTGGGCAAACATGACTATTACTATTCTTGAAGACATAAATTTTTATTGATCCATTTAATACCAATTAAATATTTTAGACTGCAGTTATAAAAATGACACTGAAATGCCACAGGTTACTGACAGCTTAGTGAATAGAGTGACTGGCTGACGATGGGCTGGGCAGCTGGTGTCATGAGGATTTTTCTCTTTACTACCACACCTAAAGCAGGTTTGGAGCCAACTGAAATTGTTATGCAAAGGGCACCAGTGAATATTTTCCCTGCGATGAGGGGGCTGGAGATTGTGGCGTTGACCACTCATCTCCTTCTAGTGCCAAGACCTAGAATACATTAGGAATTATCTCCATGTCCCTTATACACCCTCATGCTGCGAGTGTTCAGATAGAGCAGCCGCTGAACTCTTATTTAGCACATAAAATGTTTGTGAGAAAATGCTTTTTTGTTTGGTTTTTTTTTTTTTGGGGGGGGGGGGGGAAGAGGCAACTGAGGCTGGTTTCTCCTGTCCTACATCAGGATGACTTTCAATCGCATAAGCAGGCTGCTGGCCAGGCACAACATCAAGTCTGTTGGTCTTCCGCCGAAGAAAATTCCCTTACCCATGCCTGATTTGACACCTGCTCCCATTGGCTGTAGGCAGGCTACTCCATTCACAGTCCGGCTCCTATAAACCTAGCCCCCCCCCTCCCAATTGGCACATTCATCGCCCTGATGATGGAGGCAGTATGACCTCAGAAACGTTGGTAAACATCGACCATACTACACAGTGCAACAACCCAGAAGACAGAAATCTTCAATTCGTACATCATTTGTTGAGCATTCCAATTATCCTAACTGCATTAAAACAACAGTACAGCTTTACTATTAACTTGGGCTGCAACTATCAGTTTACTATCACTCTTTGTAGTGAGAATCTTGCTATATGAATATATTGGTATACTTGTGTCCTTACTGACTGCTACTGCAGGAGATGGCTTTTTATATAGATCCAAAAGCTTTGGAATTATTTCAAGTTCACTGAAAAATTAGAGCCTTTCAACGTGTGCCAAATATTGACAGAAGCCACCTTTGATGAACAAAAATATAACACATTTTGTTTAAATACGCAGTATGAAAATAAAGAGCTGTAATTTCTTCAGGAACAGCCCAGAAATAATTTCAAACTGCTGTAACTATACTGTCTTACATACCAACACCATGAACTTTTGCTCGCTCAGTGAGGAATTCTGGGTCATGGATTCGCTGTGCCCCAGACATAATTTCCTCCCCCCTCATAAATATGTCATATGAATTGGACTTTTTCTGAAAACAAAATCAGTCATAAGATAAAAGCAGTATTTTGCATTAGAATTATGTCATTCATAACATGCCATGCCATACCATACCATGTACAAAGAGTATATAATCGACTCCCACATAAAATTAAAATATCTTTCGTTCAATCAAAAGCACACATCCGACAAAAATATCAGGATCTTGATATTCAAAACTGAATATAAACGTTTATATAATGAGGGCTTCAAGGTTGTACTTTTATCCTATTATTATCAGTGTGACTACATGATCAAGGATACAGTGTGACAACATGCAGAGGACATGAGAACATTATAAATGTTTAGATTGGAAAATTTACATAAATAGTCTATTTGGGACACTGGAGCATAGATGGTGGAAAAAGTATTCTGATTTAAATCTGACAAACAGGTTGTGGAGATTTGGAGTGGACTGTACTGATACAGGACATCCAAAAAACAAGACACTAATTGCTCAGGGAAGATGCTGTACTATGGCATGAAAAAGTTAGTACCAAAACCACAGTTTGATGTCATTAAGCATGTATGTTACTCACATTGTCCTTTGGGTCTGGCATTGTGTAGAATGGTCGCACTGCCAATGGGTATTTATCCAGGATATAGAAGTCAGTGTCATACTGCAACAGAAAGTGCCCACTGTGACCTTGTGGAAAGATCAATTATGAGAGAATCAAGTGTGCTATATCAAAAGTAAGCATCACTTTAATTCTATCAGTAACTACTTCAAAATGTTTTATATGGAAGCCATCAAGATTGCTTCACTGAGCCTGAGTCCTGCTTTCCTGCTGTAGGAAATAATTCTGATCCCCATATGCGCACGTTCTATTTGCCTTCCCTGAAATATGGAATGTAGTCTTGTCACAGAACATAATTTTCATCAAGAATTTGTTGCCTTCTTCCAATTTCTCAAGTGTGGTCACTGCAAATTCCTTATGAGCTACCCTATCATCTGGCATAGTAGCCTGCACCACTTGTAACTTGCAAGCATAGAGACACAAACATTTCCGTAACACCTGATGCATTGTCAAATGTGGCATTTGCAATTCACATGCTGAAGCTTGTGTCAACTTACATGGACTGCAGACAAAGATCCTGCGACACTTTGTGCAGACACACATGGATCCCCTTTGTCTTTCTAATGCAAACCACTTCTGGTCTTCTTATACTGTTTGTACCAGGCATGTATCAATGGTTTTGATGGTGGAATCTTGTGATATGTTGTTCTGAATCGTCTTTGGGCCTGTGTATCTGATTTAATTTGGATAAACAACTCCATGCATTGTGCCTGTCATCTGTCCATCAAAGCTGTCTAAAACTAACATAATATGCTTGCATAAGAAAGCACCAGGCCACCATTTCCTTACCACATTCAACAACTGGAGGATGAGCTCCTCAGTTATCCAATCTCTTGAACTCTTACAAAAATTCCATGTAGAAATTAGTTTCAGGGAGAGTTCTTCAAACAAACCAGAAGATGTCTGCAGACTGACTGAGTGTGTAAATGATTTATAATTATGAATTTTGCATTTTCTGTTGCTCTCAAAGAAAAGCCACCAACATGGCATCATCTGACTTCTTCTATGGCTCTCTAGTCCGTATTCGGTCCATGGCCTCCTCCATTCGGTCCATTCCGAGGCTTTGATTGAGGTTTCGAAACATCTTTTTTACGGTGCAAGGTTGTTAGCCTTGCGACCAACCCCCAACTTTGAGGACCAGGGTACCTGTCTTAGTCTGACCTCTCCCCCTCAACCAATCTGGCTAGGGTGGCCCTACCAGTAGCTATGCTACCACCAGCATAGCTCTTGGGGTCACTGAGGTACTCAAGCCCCACCACCACGACAAGATGCAGGTACCATGCCATCATCTGACTAATTTAAAATATGAATGTGACCAGGCCAGTTTCATTACAAAATACCATTACAAAATACCACCTGCAAAAATGAATACCAACTCTGCCTACATAATCTCTTTTTTTCACCACCTATATTTTATATATTTCAAAGCATGTTATACACAAATACTTTATTTTTTAATTTTTCAGCCAAAAAATAAAGTGTATGTTACACATGAGTAAATACAGTACAGAAGTCACATTTAAGGAAAAGCTATTTTGTTAGAACTTGAGTGCTTACAAATTCATTAATTACATCATTTGATGGATGTGGGTCTCAAATCATGGTTGAGAATGCAATTCATGAAAATGTCATACTTAAGAATGTGTTAAAAGACACTTTTCTCCCTATTTCCAAAAACATTTGTTGGGTGAGACTTTGCCTGATATTCTTCTATGATAGAACATGATTATCTTACTTTAGCTTTGATAAGCCGGCCAAGCAGCTTCTCATCCGGTGTACTGAGGTCATCCTCATCTCCCATGTTTACTCCTGCCTCTCGCAGCATTGCCACTGCTGTTGCAAACTCCAGCTTAAGTGGAGGGTCCAGGAATTTGAAGGGTTCAACTGCAAACTGCTGTCCAACGCCAGCAATCTCATCAGCGTATCTGCAGCAATATAAAGTTACGTTACCACAGTATCTTTGATTCAAGGGACAGATCATACATATCAAGTAATGCTGGGAGTATTACATTGTAACATAGGGTTAATGAATACAAGTCTCATAAAAATCCATAGAACCACTAAACAGAATGGAATGAGCTGGGATAGCTCAGTAAGTATAGTGACTAGCTATGGGCTGGGTGACAGGTTCAATCCTCTATACTCTGTATCAGGACCAGCTCTGGGGCCCACCCAGCCTCCTATCCAGTGGGTACTGGGGTCCCTTTCCGGTGGTAAAGCATGGCCAGGGCGTGATGCTGACCACTCGCCCCCATCTAGTGCAGAGGTCAAGAATGAGTAGGAGCTATACCACCTTTTTGCCCAAGCAACCTACATGGTGTGTAGTGGGACTGCTTTACTTTTCTTTTCACATAAGAATGAAATGTGTGAAATAGAATGAAAAATGAGATGCATATATTACAAACATGATATAAATTACATACTGAAATATGGAACATATAAGTTACAAAAGTGAGGTTTAGCTGACAAGATGTGTACTGTGAAGTGTGTACAAACACTCTTAGTAATCAGTTGATTTCTATAACAGGTGCTTTGACTGGCTATATATAATGTGTACTCATTACAGCAAGAAATACTTTGAAATTATAAGCTCTCACATAACTCAATCTATGTTACTTCTCTACTTTCCTTCTTCATTTTCTGTCTGCATTAATCTGTACTTTGTCATAACTGTAATTCTTATTGACAGATGTCTGGAGCTGAGATATTTCCAGCAGTATATTCACCTGTCACGAAGTCCTTTGAACATCTGTGTGAAGGTGTCGCCAATGGTGTCAAGGACCTCGTGGTAGTGGTACTTGAATGCCATCTCCAGGTCCAGGCCCACAAACTCAGTAAGATGACGGTGTGTATTGCTGTCCTCTGCTCGAAATACTGCAACACATCATGTACATGTTGTTTTTTGGCTCTACAACCCGTTTGTGGGTTTTCGCCACACCTCTCTCTCTCTCTCTTTGAGGTTTCTTGGTCTTGAAGTGTGCATTTATGAGTAGTGAGTAGGGTTCTTTTACACGCTGTAAATCTACAACATGGGACCATTGGCTTTACTTCCCCTCTGAAGGATGTTGTGCTACGGATTTTTATCACCCTTAAAAATCCACTGACCCTGGCCAGGATTGAACCCGCAAACCTTGGGTCCAGTGGCGAGCACACTAACCACTAGTCCACCAAGGGCAACAACCATTACATTGAATAAACAACTAATAAAACCCATTTTCCGGAAAAACTGTAAATAATTTGATATATGAATAACAAACTTTCCTTTTAACATAGGACGTTTGAAGATAGAGGTTTACGGCACTTTCCGAACAAATTAAATGAACTCTGGTAGATTACTGTTTGACAAGCTTTTCTGAATTTTACACTACAATAATCTCATCCAAGACCCAATTCAAAATTCTGTCTCAGGAAGGATTTATAATGATGGTACAAAAACTGAACTTGGAGTTCAGATGCAAAGCATTCAAAGGACATCACTTCATGCACTAAACACCAATCTTGACTGATGGTTACCAGCTCCAATGGTGAACACCTTATCAAAGTCAGCTGCTATTGCCATCTGTTTGTACAGTTGTGGACTCTGAGCAAGATATGCAGATCCCTTGAAGTACGACACTGTGAACACGTTGGCCCCACCCTCACTTGCTGCTGAAATGATCTTTGGAGTATGGATCTCCAAAAAACCCTGTAACACATCAAACAGAGCACCACTTACTCTGTCCTCTTTGGAAATTCAGTGCAGCAAATCACATCATGGGGGGGATACAGAAATCTAACCTGTAAAGTTCTATTTGCAAATATTTATAGAATTATGACACCTAATAACTTTTACACTATCCCCCGCCCCCCCAACTTCAGTGTGAATGACATGTGGGGTAAAGCCCTGGTGCTTAATGCAGTAAATCATCCTTAGAACAAAACTAAATGCAACAAATCTTAAACACTGTAGTCTAGTAGAAGTTTACCTTTCAGAGGTACTTGCTGCCTTCATCTTCGGGTGATGTGCAAGCACCTCTGAAACACTGATATAAACTTCTACCAGACTAAGAGGTGCGACAACCTAGACGACAGCCGTCTTCACACTTTCTGCAATGAAAACCTGAAATCTCACTAGATGAACGGTGTTCACTGCATTAAATGATAACAACATCCACCTTAACAATCCCATCTTCAACGTCATACAGTTTCTTGACCCTACCCCATGAAACAACTTTCACTTATATATAAATAACCCTCAAACAACATACATACATCAGACACAGATTCTCTTCACCAGCCGTCAGACGCCGTTACTCTACACAACATCTCTTGGTATGTTCCTCGTTTACTATTTTTAATATATATTTATACGATTATTTATTTATTTCCTATGTCAATTCATACTCATTCCAAGAAAATAATTAAACATTAATTCCACAGATAAATATAACGTCTGACTACAATAAGCAACTTACCATGAAAATGGAAAGCTACAAACAGAACTACGGATCATTATAATATATTGCATCAAATATCTAATAGTTTTTAAAATATTTTAAATTGATAAAAACCTGAAGACGACGGTATTACCCGTCGAAACATGTCGTTTTAATAAAAGCGCTAAAAAATATAATGTAAAATCGTATTTACGATTAAGAGCGCTAATATAATATTTTACACAACAAAATGTTTTAATATTATATAATTTTTACAACACCAATAAACTTCAAACGTTTGTGTATAGACTGTACAAAATAAATATATTTATTAGTTAAATTAACATTTTACAGGTACATACTTACTACTCACAGTTCAAGAAGAAGAAAAAAGGAATATAATTCTGATGGACTGGAACAGAGGGAACCATAGCATGGGTGACAAGCACGTCTACTTGCTGGGAGGTGACAATGGCAAGTGACAAGTGTTAGCAGGCAATGAAAAATACCTTTTCTGTAAGGATATCTCTGAACAGCTTGCATACACCAGCCTCAAGGCGGAAGATAGCCTGGTTGGCTGGGGTCCTTAGATCAAGCACTCGGTTGTCCAGTCGCGTGTCCTGGTTCACTCGGATGTTCAGACCTTCTGGATCCTGCAGCAACGCAATAGAAGTTACGGTACATCCATATGTAATGTAAACATAGGAAAGTTTTACACCCAGAATCACTGCAGAAACTGTAAAGAGAATGAAGAGTTAAATTACAGCAGTTTCCATGTACAACTATGACTGATTTGCTACCTAACAATAAAAAACTCAAGATCACTGGTTTTAAGTCTGACTTACATCAAATTATCTACCTCTCTTCATCTATTTAAAGGATATGTACTTTATGTATGCTGTGAACATACTCAACTTTGACAATTTTTTCATTATTTTCTAAAGATGTCTATGTTCCTTGAAACTGTTTATCTAGGGAAACTGGTAACTTTTCTTAGATGGGGCAGTACCTCAATGAACCTGAATGTATTCCAATGCTCAAAATGTACTTTACATAATTATTCCTTATAGTACGTGTGGGCACTTGTTTAATAGTTAAGTTTTCTGACTTCATTTCTAACTCCACTTAGCAGAGCCATCTTGAGTCATTCAGACAATCAAGAAATTCTCCACATTTCATGAACCCAATGGATTGTTACTGTATTCAAAACAGCCCACCACTGGTTCCCATCCTGAGCCAGTTGAAACCAGTCCAGTTCCCCATGCCCTTTTATTTCATATCAGCTCTAATATTATCCTCCCATCTATGATTAGGTCTCCCAAATGGTTTGTTCCCTCCAGGTTTCTGACCAAAAAATTGTGTGAATTTTACTCCCACATGCTACATGCCCTGCCCATCTTATTATCCTTGATTTGATCACTCCAATAAACCTTAGCAAAATTTATGAAGTTCCTTACAATGCAATTTGATTTCAAAAAAATTGTCAAACTGATTATGTGCTCAGCTGTGGTTGGTCATTGGTATCTTACTAAAAATGAATATAAACCCAAGTTGGATGGAACTGTCACTATTGCAAACTAATTTGCAGTGTAAACCTGTTTCTGTATTCCCTGAAATAAAAAGTCAGGTGCTGCCTCTAGCCCATCAAGTCATTACTAAGACGACATCAGATCCATTCTCTGCTTTCTGCTCTGCTAATGGCCAACTATAATTTACAATGGAATTCAATCTTGCAGTCAGGCTTTGTCATGATAAAATTACATCTGTTTACAATTACATTTTAGTTTCCTCTTAATAAATTCATCCCCACTCCCCTAAATATCCTTACCTCATCTTCCTTGACAGGACGGGCTGCGTCCTCAATGAGGAGGGGCAACTGACTCTTTGCAGAGGATACTGTGAACAGCTGTGTCACATGGAGCTCAACATTCTTCTGGCTACAGCTCTCAATCTTGGAGCCCACTACACGGACTACTGCTTCTACATCCACAATAGACTCCTTTGTGATACTGCAAGTTTTCACATTATTCAATACAGGTACAGGACTTAATGACAACTGTCCCTCTGCCTAAAAGCATGAAAATGCTCTTCACAGAATCCATTCATCATCTCTATCTACCAATGTAATATCCTTATATAGAGTGAACACAAATTAGCTTTACTATTTTAATGTAAAATAATAAAAAGAATACAGAAGTGAGACACACATTCAGTGTTTGTGCTATATTTGAGTGGTACTCATTAAGTTTAAATGAGGAAAAGTAGCAAAACAAAAATTGGTTTTACTGTCCACTCCTGTCTCCTCTTTGTTTACATCAGGGTGGTTCTTGGGTGAGACAGAGAATAGTAATGGTGTTAACTACTGTAACATCAGTATAGTGACTGGCTATGGACTGGGTGACCAGGGTTCGATCCCCGACGGGGGCAGAGGATTTTTCCTCTAGCCTGTGTCCAGACCGGCTCTGGGGCTCACCCAGCCTCCTATCCAATGGGTACCGGGGTCCTTTCCCAGGGGTAAAGCGCGGCCGGGGCGTGATGCTGACCACTCACCCCCATCTAGTGCCGAGGTCAAGAATGAGTAGGAGCTATACCTCCACTCCCCCCAAGCGCCTACATGGCATATAGTGGGACAGCTTTACTTTACTTTTTACATATCACACCATCCCCACATGATATGACATATATGAAGGCCACATGGATCTCATATACATATAAACATAATGTGGCATATTTTCCCATTCTGTCCATCTTAGTAATGCTTATATGATATTCAAATTCCATTTCCAGGCAAATGATTGGTTGGTTGGTAACTTTCATGTTTCCAGGCAAATGATTGGTTGGTTGGTTGGTAACTTTCACATGACAGTATAATGTAAATCCAATTTTACATAGCAGAATGGTAGCTGGATTCTATCCTCCAAGGCGATATTCATCCACTTCCATATCTGCATCAACAATGCAAAAAAGCATACCGAATAAACTTATCATACTAGATAAATTCCTAATGAGTGTGTTATCAAATATGCTTAGTTTTTACACTCTGTGATGTCCTGGGATTTCTCAGAGTATATGCTAACTGTGCATTAAGATAATGGACACCCACTGAATTAAACACCATGAAAAGTACTATGGCTTAAGTGACATAGGTAACATAATGCATGTACATACTTGGAAGCAAACTTGACCATCAGCTTGCTAACCACTTCATTGACAGCGATGATGCACTGTACAGTGTACTGCTGCTGGCGGAGCACAATGAAACATTGCTTACCTGCGGGATAAAAGAAATGTTGTCACATCATATAAAGGCAATGAGGGGCATATTAAATAAACTTTCAACAGAAATCAATACAAGTCTATACAGCATGGCAGGCTATTGTGAACACAGTAGTGAACCTTCAGCTTCCTTAAAAGATAAGGAATTTCAACTTGTAAAATGTATTTCTCTGCAGAAGCATCACATGGGACATATTAATTCATCTAGAGTCAAATGTATGGTGTAACAGAAATTATAAAAACAGAACTACTCTGCCAAGAACAATGAAATGACTAACAAACGAGCTATCATGGCTAAACAATGAACAGCAAGCAAGCCAGCCAGCTGGAGTATGTCACCCAGCCAAGGTGAAGATGTGCACCTTTAGCTCTACTGGTGTGAAGCCGACCACGCACCCATACTGTTGTCTCTGCAAGATTGGATTCCAGCTGCCTAACATGCACAAACTCTCGTTTGATTATGTCTGCACTTTGTACCATAGGATGTTGGCCATACCTTCCTGTAGAGTAGTCATCACTATCTCCCGTATCTTGCTGTTGACTGGCCTGAGTGAACAAAAATTACACCCCAAATCTATTTTTATACTGTTATTCAAAATGTGACAAACTACCTTATGGTATCATGTATTTTCATGTACTCATATGAAATCATCCACTGCCTTGTTGCAGAACTGTTTATTCTTACTATACTCCAAAGATATTGACTATCCACCATGCAGACCAGACCTGATTTTCATCTGTGTCAACACTCAAAGGAGGCTTTGTGAGGTTACCAATTTGGATGTGATGACAAAATGAAAGTGTGTGACTGGTTCTGTACTTAACCTTTTTTTTCTTCTTCTTTATAAGCTTGTGGAGTAAGTGTATTCAAAAGTGGGGATTATGTAGGAAAGTAATAATACTGTAAACATCTAAAAATTATATTAAATCCGTGGCGTAACAGCTCCAGAGAGTCAAAGCCGACTAGCTTGACTGCTGGCCTCACGTTCACATGCCTAAGCAGAGGTGAATGATCATCCAACCAGATATAGGGTGACGTGTGGTCAGCACGACGAACCCCCAACCATTGCTAGCTTTCCTGACCGGATTACACTACTCATTGTAGCTCCCCAATTTCCTCATGATGCTGGGTTGGCACTGGTCGAAAGCTCATGAGAAAATTTCTTCTCCCCCGAGACTCGAACCAGCGCACATTCCGTATCGCCGGTCCGAAGCATGATGCCTCAGACCGCGCGGCTACGGCGCGGGACACTGACATCCAGAACAATAAATTATAAAGAAAAAATAATTGTGGATACTTTTGGAATCACCATTGTACAAAACTTACATTCAAAGCCTTTCTTTCTTCCTTCTTGGCAGCTTTAGCAGCATCCTTTGCCTCTTTCTTCAGAGCTTTCTTAGACTTTGCATGATCTCTGATACAGAAGGTAAAAATGATCAGTAGCCTGTAATAATATGCCAATACACATACTGGTTTGTACATATAATAAATACTCACCCTGCTGAAGCCAAATCCTCTGCATTAATATCAACAACCATAATCACAGATATTTATATTTCTTTATCTGAAAGTAGAGGAGTTACAAATAAAGAGCAATGAAATATCTAAATTATAACAGCATAATGCACTGAAACGCTGGTAACCACCATCAAGACTACACAGCGACAACCTATTAGGCCACAACCCAGATCATATACACAAATATAAAAAATGCTATTGGTATTTTAAGAATACACACGGAATTAAAACTTTGGTTTTGTATTTATTATTATTTATTATTGACTGCAAATGGGTTTATACCCGGTGGCAGTGAGGTATTTAACGTAGATAAATAATAGCTGGCACCATAACATACACAGAACAATTTGACGGAATAGAACCGTCTTGCATCAATCCTCAATTTCTTGTTCCTTCACAAATTACGATATGTAAAATATAGATGATGAAATATTAACGTTAGGGTAAACGCATGGCTGTCCATAACTTAATGAGCTACTGAACAACAGTGACGTAAGCTACAAGTGGCATAATTTAATTTAGTAGAAACACACAGCTGTTGCCTTTAATTAATGGTGTACACATTTCCATACCTAATTAAAAGTATTTACAATCACAGCTAATACCACCAGCAATCGTTCCAACAAAGTTTACTAACATTCCACGGATACCAACAAACGACAAACACACATGCTCAGCGCTCGTAACGTGGCCAGAGTGAACTCTTTCCTGCCTCAAGGAAAACGTAATAAATTAGAGGTCGGAACAGACGATTAGCCTTTTCCAATAAAGGAAGATGACGTATGAATTACTGCCGATGAGGGGCATTTCTTTTCTGGCTATTTGCTATTCTGGGTTTCTGTACTGTGTAGTTGGTAGAAATTGTCCCTCGTTTCAGAGTAGCTTACTCCTTTCGGCATCAGATTGATTTTAAGCACCAAATATATTATAAAAAATAAACAAGCGCCTCTGAAATGTCGGCCAAAAATGGCACACCATTCATATTGCAATAATCGTGGTTCCTTGGTGGGGACTTTTGAAATGAATTTATATCATTGATTTCTCTTCATTAATAACTATCGAATTGTAAAAATATGTGTATGTATGTACTACTGGCACTAACTGTGGTGCTGTAGGTCAATATGTCATATCTATGGTGTTACTCATGGCAGTTGATAGTTGATGTGCGGTAAGTGCCTGCGAATGTAATCTGTGTAATCCGTGTCGGAAAGTAAATGATTATTCGTTCTATAACTGAGTTTCTTGATTAGTATGATGTGGTGTAGCTGAATGCTGAAGACTGAAAAAATTACAATGACAGACAGACGTTTGGGGTATAATTGTGCGGGATGGTAATATATATTATTTGAACCCTTTGAGAGAAAATCACATGTAATATGTTTACTGAGGGATTCTGTATTGTAATGGCCCTTTAATTTCATGTTTACTGTCATGCAGTATTGTCATATTGTAATTTGGAGCTTAACCCATGAGTGTTACAGGAAGAACAAAGTTAATTATAACTGATAGCTAGACGTATCTAAGTACCATACGCTGTTTTTTTCGAAATTTTAATATTAAGTTTCTTAACAGGGGGCTTTGTGCTCTTGGTATTATTCTCTCACTCACTCCATGGTGCAGGAAATTCTTAGATTTTCGTAAAAAGTCAATTGTAAACTGGGCTTGTCAAAGAATATTTCACTTTCTTTATGGTTCATCATCATGTGTACAAAATCCTGGCACTGGACTCTGTCCTGAGCTAGCTGCATCCATTTTGCTCCATTGATTCTCATCTCCCAAAGGCCCATTTTAATGTTATCCTCCCACCTATGCCTAGGTCTTCCCAGTGGTCTCTCTAGGCCTCCCAACTAATGCCAATGGAGGATGAGGTGGGCAGGACATGTAGCATGCATGGGGAGGGGAAAGGTGTTTACAAGGTATTGGTTGGGAGGCCTGAAGGGAGGAAACCGATGAGAAAATGAGATTGACCTTAGAAAGACAGAAATCGATAGTCTGAACTAGATGCAGCTGGGTCAAGATAGAGTCTGGTGGCAGGATTTTCTGAACACTGATGTTCCTTTAGGTTCCATAAAGAAAGGGGGCTATTCTTTAACAAGCCGAGTATACAATCAACTATTCAAAGAATTTAGTGCACCATAGAGTGATTAAGTATTGTTTCCTTATTACCATAAAATCTTGCATTCTGGGACAGTGCATTATAGAAATACTCAGAATTGTAACTGATGCAACCAGTTTGTAATTAATAACAGATAGTTGGTGTCATAGGCCAAACTTGCATTCACAAATTCTGTTCTCATTTGAAATGATCAGGGTTCTGTGCAACTACTCTTCCAACCTGAGGTCCATATTTTTTGACATATCTTATGAAGGGATCTTCAGCAGTTGTTTATACATGCTAGAACTTTAATTTGGCATTGTTAAACTGCTGTTAAATGGTCCATTTATTACCTTAGGTTGTAACAGATTCACTTTGCTTCACGTAACCCACCCCATACAGCAACTCACAGCCTTGAACAAAGCCACCAGATATACCCAGATAGATAACATTGAGTCTGTTGGATGCGTTTACATTAGTTGTGATTCCTACAGCTTCCTTTTCTGCAAACCCTTCCTAAACATATAATTGACATCCACCCAAGTCTCATCCAGGTACAAAAGTAGTTTGCATGTCTCCCTTATTTTTCTTATTTGCTGTTGGTATGCACATCTCCAGTTCACAGTATTCTCCCTTTCAATTAATATTTTTCTTGTGGGCTCACAGCGTTTCTTTTTGAAACCCATTTCTTTCAGTATTCATCTTAATGTTGTAACTTTCTAATCAAAATTAACCCTTTCCTGTAATGCAGGGAGAAGCTTCTTACAGATCAGAACTACCTTCTGTCGCAAAAAAGTCTTTAATGATTTCCTTTATTACCTGTTGGTCAGAGTCTCCCACCTCTGGATTTTGGATGTTTCCATGTTTGCCCAGATGCTGACAACACAGAATTATTACTTTTATTCCTTATGCAGTGTATTGTTCATGATGATGTGTTGCAGTATTTGCAACCCTTGAAGTGGCTTTTGTAATGGGAACACAGATATTTCTTTTCAGCTACCGTGTCACAACACTTTTCTCTCTGCTGTGAATTGTTAGTCCTTGCTTGCCAACTCTGGCTATTTGCTATTCTGGGTTTCTGTACTGTGTAGTTGGTAGAAATTGTCCCTCGTTTCAGAGTAGCTTACTCCTTTCGGCATCAGATTGATTTTAAGCACCAAATATATTATAAAAAATAAACAAGCGCCTCTGAAATGTCGGCCAAAAATGGCACACCATTCATATTGCAATAATCGTGGTTCCTTGGTGGGGACTTTTGAAATGAATTTATATCATTGATTTCTCTTCATTAATAACTATCGAATTGTAAAAATATGTGTATGTATGTACTACTGGCACTAACTGTGGTGCTGTAGGTCAATATGTCATATCTATGGTGTTACTCATGGCAGTTGATAGTTGATGTGCGGTAAGTGCCTGCGAATGTAATCTGTGTAATCCGTGTCGGAAAGTAAATGATTATTCGTTCTATAACTGAGTTTCTTGATTAGTATGATGTGGTGTAGCTGAATGCTGAAGACTGAAAAAATTACAATGACAGACAGACGTTTGGGGTATAATTGTGCGGGATGGTAATATATATTATTTGAACCCTTTGAGAGAAAATCACATGTAATATGTTTACTGAGGGATTCTGTATTGTAATGGCCCTTTAATTTCATGTTTACTGTCATGCAGTATTGTCATATTGTAATTTGGAGCTTAACCCATGAGTGTTACAGGAAGAACAAAGTTAATTATAACTGATAGCTAGACGTATCTAAGTACCATACGCTGTTTTTTTCGAAATTTTAATATTAAGTTTCTTAACAGGGGGCTTTGTGCTCTTGGTATTATTCTCTCACTCACTCCATGGTGCAGGAAATTCTTAGATTTTCGTAAAAAGTCAATTGTAAACTGGGCTTGTCAAAGAATATTTCACTTTCTTTATGGTTCATCATCATGTGTACAAAATCCTGGCACTGGACTCTGTCCTGAGCTAGCTGCATCCATTTTGCTCCATTGATTCTCATCTCCCAAAGGCCCATTTTAATGTTATCCTCCCACCTATGCCTAGGTCTTCCCAGTGGTCTCTCTAGGCCTCCCAACTAATGCCAATGGAGGATGAGGTGGGCAGGACATGCAGCATGCATGGGGAAGGGAAAGGAGTTTACAAGGTATTGGTTGGGAGGCCTGAAGGGAGGAAACCGATGAGAAAATGAGATTGACCTTAGAAAGACAGAAATCGATAGTCTGAACTAGATGCAGCTGGGTCAAGATAGAGTCTGGTGGCAGGATTTTCTGAACACTGATGTTCCTTTAGGTTCCATAAAGAAAGGGGGCTATTCTTTAACAAGCCGAGTATACAATCAACTATTCAAAGAATTTAGTGCACCATAGAGTGATTAAGTATTGTTTCCTTATTACCATAAAATCTTGCATTCTGGGACAGTGCATTATAGAAATACTCAGAATTGTAACTGATGCAACCAGTTTGTAATTAATAACAGATAGTTGGTGTCATAGGCCAAACTTGCATTCACAAATTCTGTTCTCATTTGAAATGATCAGGGTTCTGTGCAACTACTCTTCCAACCTGAGGTCCATATTTTTTGACATATCTTATGAAGGGATCTTCAGCAGTTGTTTATACATGCTAGAACTTTAATTTGGCATTGTTAAACTGCTGTTAAATGGTCCATTTATTACCTTAGGTTGTAACAGATTCACTTTGCTTCACGTAACCCACCCCATACAGCAACTCACAGCCTTGAACAAAGCCACCAGATATACCCAGATAGATAACATTGAGTCTGTTGGATGCGTTTACATTAGTTGTGATTCCTACAGCTTCCTTTTCTGCAAACCCTTCCTAAACATATAATTGACATCCACCCAAGTCTCATCCAGGTACAAAAGTAGTTTGCATGTCTCCCTTATTTTTCTTATTTGCTGTTGGTATGCACATCTCCAGTTCACAGTATTCTCCCTTTCAATTAATATTTTTCTTGTGGGCTCACAGCGTTTCTTTTTGAAACCCATTTCTTTCAGTATTCATCTTAATGTTGTAACTTTCTAATCAAAATTAACCCTTTCCTGTAATGCAGGGAGAAGCTTCTTACAGATCAGAACTACCTTCTGTCGCAAAAAAGTCTTTAATGATTTCCTTTATTACCTGTTGGTCAGAGTCTCCCACCTCTGGATTTTGGATGTTTCCATGTTTGCCCAGATGCTGACAACACAGAATTATTACTTTTATTCCTTATGCAGTGTATTGTTCATGATGATGTGTTGCAGTATTTGCAACCCTTGAAGTGGCTTTTGTAATGGGAACACAGATATTTCTTTTCAGCTACCGTGTCACAACACTTTTCTCTCTGCTGTGAATTGTTAGTCCTTGCTTGCCAACATCATTGTTAGGTAGAAATAAACAGAGTACCACTTATAAAAAAACTCGCCAATTACATAAAATATATTCCATGAACAAAATACACTAAAACAAACACACAAGTTACAGTATTAATAAATCCTAAGCAATTATTCAGTACATTTAGAAACAAATAAAACTACACTTCACTCAAAATAAATTCATTGTTAAATTAGGGCCTAATATACTAAATAAATTACTGAACATATAAATTTCATGCACTCAGTTTACTATCAATATAAAAGTAAGAATACACACATAATTTATGTAAGATATACATGTATATACTGTCCACTGACCAGGAGAAAATCCGTACTAGGAATTTTATATACGCGCATGCGCAAGATTTCGCGGTGAGTGATGAGCTGCTACTAGCCATCCTAAAAGCATTTGTTCCACAACCACTGAACAAACAACAGACAACAGGGTTTCATGTGTTCTTATGGGTATAGCTTTAAGATTACCTCACAGTGGCACAGTGGTTGAACCTAGAATATTATCACAACACCCACAGAACACAGTACAGGTGCACTCACTACACACTACTCTTAACTGCTTGATGTTTTCGGTCTGTGTGTAGTAGAGTAACTCTCTGGTGTGTTATACTTCCCACCAATAGCAGTCCTCTAGACCACCTGATAGTAAAAATTTCCCCTACACCACACCAGAACCGTTTCCCCCTGGCAGGGATTTTCTCCTGGCTGATGGACAGTAGAGGTTTATATAAACAACCTGTAAATGTATGTTGAAACATGTGAACATGTAAAGAACTAATTACCATTTTGTAAAGATATACTGAAATTAGAAAGAGTGATGTGCAAGGATCTAGTTATGATCTTCATAAATTGCCCTTGTTGTAGTTTTGTGTGTGAGGGGTCATTGGTGAGGTGGCTGTGATGTTGGTGCTTGGCACATCATTCATTGTCCCTGCAGTGTTGTCATGTCCTATACGGAACTGGAGCATGGCTACCAGGGCCTCCGCAGAGGACGTCCAGCCTTCTATGTTTGTGTTGATGGCAATGGGTGCCCAGCTGTAAGGGCAGCCAAAAACAGAGTAAGTAAATGAATCTACAGATTATGTAGTTCTGTAATTACTGTTGTGCATATAGCAATATAGCACATGTAATAAAGATGACAGAACCTTTGAGTTTAATGAAATTGTACATGGAAAGTGTTGCATCATCTGGACACCCAGAACAATCCTTTCTTTAGTTATGTAGTGTATTACTTTCCAGTAGATTCTCAAAAGAAAACTTTATTATTTATTTTTGTAGAGTACCTTGTCACATTACCTTATAAGACATTTTGTTGCATTACAGAATTACATTTGTTTTTGTGCTTCTGTTCTTTGTTTACTTGAATCGAAATATCAGGAATTCAAGGTATTAACAGGTCGAGTCAGAAGTAGTAGTGGAAGTTCTTAACATAACGACAGAAAATATACCAATGTGAACACTGATAAAGAGTTATATTAATATGAAATAATTATATTTTTTGTCAGATCATTACCGAGGAACACTGTGTTGGAGGTTGTTTATTTTCTCTTATTACCAAGCAGGATGTGAAGTAACACTTTAGGCTGTAATCAGAAGACACTGAGTTCTAATCTCAGCCAAAGTTACTCATTGTCTTGTTGAAGGTTTCTCATGCATTTATACATTACCCTCATGGAGGCACCTGTTTGTGATAAGAGGAAATGACAAAGAAATGTGTCTTCCATTGGTATTACCCTCTATTAAGTAAAAAAAAAAATGCACCCTGTTTGTTCAAAAGATACTGACATACACAAACATGCACCAGTGAAGACAGTGATACCACAGACTTGACATTAACAATTATAAAATGGCTAGGCAAAAATGATTATGTTCTAAATTGGGATAACATTAGTTCTGTAACTAGAGTCATTTGAAAATGTAAAATTGCATTATTTACATCAGTCAGAGGACATGACTTACACAGATTCCCTGCTCTTTAATAAATTCTCACCCATGCTGCTCAGAAAATTAATGCGCTTTGAGTGCAGCATTGTACTAGGTGTTCCACTTAACGTGGAACCTGCCACAGCAGCAGCAAGCAAACTACTACTAGGTGGGTTCTGAGTTACTTGGGACTCTATTTCAACACATATTCCTCCATAATGGAAAATAAAATATTGGTACCCTGTAAAATGTGTTATATAGTTTGTTTTTCACGACATAACAATCCATTGTTCAACATTTTCAAGGGGACACAGTTGATTGAAACCATCCAATTCTGTTCCAGTTCTGCAGTATGGCTATGTTTTGCTTCCTGGCCAAAATATTTAGTGTCTACTACATTCCTCTGTTGCTTTGTAATACACAATGTTATGTTTTACTTTCTTCACTATTACTTCATAAATTTTATAGAAGGCTTACTTACATTGTCAGTGATGGCTCAGTTTGTAGCACATTTGCCTGTAGTGTGGGAGATTGGTGTTTCATTCCCAGTGAGTTGATTTTTTCAGTCACTGTGTCTAGAACAAGTTTGACTAGTAAATTGTTATTTATTAAGTACATTAACATATGTTGTGTATTCTGAGGCATTCAACTATTATTTATTATTTGCACTTTTAATATGTTGTTAAAAGTTTGTTTTAAAATATTGGTATATTTTTGTCCTTTAATGTTGAAAAACCTACTGCACTGTTGCTGTTGTCTAATGTGTATAAAGGGAGAAAGAAAATAAATGCAAAATATAAAAAAAATGCATTAAATTTGAAGGCCTTTAGAGCCATTTTGGATGTGTTACAAAAATCGCCTCATTGGGAATCAGATCATGGCTGTCCATGGATGGTGACAATGTACATGTGCTCATTTTATGACATTTGTAAAATAACAGTGACATAAATGGAAAGTAAATAAGCAGTGGAATCTCAACACCTAACATTTTGGCCAGGAAGTTAAGAGGAGGGTTCACTGCCATAATGCAAAACTAGAGCTGAATCAGAGGGTTTTACATATCACACAGAAGAACATTGTGTTGTTATTTGTATAAAGGAACCTATTACTTCTTTTGGTTCACCTCATATGACACATCAGCACTGTTGCCTTTATTTCAGCCATAATTTGTCTTGGAACATCCATTTTATTCTTTATTTAGTTTCTGTTTCTTTCTGCTAGTAGTTGTAGCCCTCCTGCTGGCACAATGGCTGATTTCCCTTGGCA